AGAGAGAGGGTTTAGGGTCTGTAGGATGCCCTTGGATTCTTCTGAGGACAGCTTTCTCCCTTAGCAACCGCTAAGGCCGATAGCTCTGTGATCTGGTCCCAGAGACCAATAGTAGTAGTAATACTGCGAACAGATACCTGGAATAGGGTGAGAGATCTCCCTTGTGGGTCCCAGACGGACGCTCGCACCAGCTCCTCTGCGGTACCCTTCAACAAGCAGACTCTACCTCCGACCCAGCTTCCATCAGGTATTTTCCTCTTCAGGATCTGGAATCTCTGTGCTCTCAGCATCTGCAACTGCCAAGGAGCACTCCAGGTTAGTGGTACTATCTTCTTAGAACAAGGCACCCATCTCCTGCCACGTGTATGGGCCTAGCAAAGTATCAGTGTATCCTAGGCCTCTAGGCCCCTCAGCACCTGCCATGTGCTGAGGCCCAGGCCAGTTTTCCTGCATCACACAGACCTCCTAGGGCGAGGCCCCTAGGGGAAGAAGACCAGTGCACAGTGTCCCCAGACCTTTTATTACCTGCCCTCAACCATGCCTCTGAGTCATCCTACTCAGGGATTGGCTAGGGCCAGGTGCATAGTCATAACCTGAGGGTGGATCCTCCCTCACTGTATGCCAAGGCTCCCTTTTCCTCAGCAACAGGAGGAGCAATCGATCCAGCAGATTCAGGGATACGTATAGAATGCAGAGCTCTGTATAATCAGTATCTAGACTGGTTACAGTCCAGGTATCTCTAAATTGAATAGCGACATTTTAGAGGGCGCTACATATGCAAATTACATTTTCCTGATAAACACACACAGCCAAGCATTGCATAGTAGATAAGCAAGGGTCATTTAAAGTAGCTTTGTTTAAGTGATGACAGTGATATACATTAGATGTGCAATGGCTCATTAAACCAATTCCTGCTGGAAGATGCCTTGTGTAAACGGCTGACGTCTTTCTGTGATGTGGGAATAGCACTGCAAATGCGTAGACTTGATGCTTTTCTGTGGGTGGTTGTGTATGTTCTGCTCTGCCATACATCACAGGCAGTAATGTCTTATTTCTCAGTGTGCTGTAAGTTATAAACAGTGTATATGGTACTGCTGTAATTATCACTTCTGTTCTTACTTATAAAAGTTTGTTGTAGTTTTTCAGATGACTTGTGTTCTCTATTTTTTAAACTGTGTATATTTATGTGGAACTGGATTAAAATGAATTTAATGTCACTACTTTTTGTTAGCTATAAATGTAATCAGCTTAATGTAAATTATTTGAAAGGATAGGTTTATATAAACTGTAAAGGTTGAAACTTGACAAGAAAGACAAGTCTTCAAGGAAAATGTATTACCATCTAGTTTTAGGATGCATAACCATCTGATTTCTCTTAGAGGGATATGTCAAAAATGTACAGAAGAGGAAAAACTATCACCAACTTGCTGCTATTATTTTCTTCCATTTACCGCTTTGATTCCAAGACAGCTTCCATGCACATAACAGCACATAGGAATTGGAAGAAATGAGACTTATGTCACTGGATCTTTTCAAGAGTCTTACCTATAACTTAATATGACTCAACACTAATATGACTCATGCCACACTACCATTATATAATGTTCTTGTTATCACCCAATATATGTATACAAGACCACCCTAATGTCATTTTCTTTGACATATTTATTATCTTCTTTTATACTCAGACAAGATTCTAACATTACAGACTATCTGATGTTTGGCATTGTCTGTATAGTTAATATATTGTCATATGCCATGTTTTTGTTTTTTTATCTCACTGTGAACTTTATGTATCCCTGTTTTATTATTTGTATAATAATAATAATAATAATAATAATAAAAAATACAGATTTAACTATAACTTACAAATATGATTTTTTTA